GGGGGTTCTAGTTTCCAGACTAGCTAAATGCAAGTTAGGGTAAAAACGTCCATACAACCCTAGCAACAACACAAACCCCAGCTTGCATTTCCCTTGCTGCTACAAGAGACCCACCATGCTGCGGTTGGAGATATTCATCCATCTTATCTAACCCAGACACAGACGCATGAAATACAAGGATTTCAAGTAGGTCATCAGTTGTCATTTCCTCAGCAAGTTGCTGAAGTCACTTCACTGCTTCTGTTGAGGAGTTCCCGTTAATGCTGATGTGAGCAGGGGTATCACTCCTCCCTTTTCCCTCCTGCAGGTACTCCAAGCATTGCAGTGGCCATGGTGGCCATCCTCGATGCCCTTCCAGCTCGTGCCTTTAACATGTTGATCTTCTCTCCCCAGCTATCGACCTCTTGTACTGGCGTGACATCAAGCAGACAGGGATCATGTTCGGCAGCCTCCTGTTGCTGCTCTTCTCCCTGACCCAGTTCAGCGTCGTCAGTGTCGTGGCCTACCTGGCCCTCGCCGGCCTCTCGGCCACCATTAGCTTCAGAATCTACAAATCCGTCCTACAGGCTGTGCAGAAGACGGACGAGGGCCACCCTTTCAAGTGAGTGCTTTGCAGTCATGGCCAGGGGCCGTTTATTTTGCAAAGGATCCATTCCTAGTGGCAATTCACGTTTCTTTAGCTGCTGCTTTTATACTGGATAAAATTCTTTTCTTGTTCATAACAGGGGAAGTAATTTTTTCTGTTGTCCAGTGTCTCAAGAGCTGTTAGGCTGTATTGAAAAAAACACAAAAAAACCCAAAAAAGCCCTCGTCCTCTGAGACATGAGAATTTTTTTCCTGAAATTCTAAAGATCTAGAAAATTTTAAGCAAACAGAGAAAAAGAGTTTCATTGGAGCTAATGATAATACAGTATCTCTGCAAGCAGGAAGATCATTGTTTCTGAGCACACTCTATTTGGCGTAGAGGAAAGCTATTCATATCTTTTCTCCAGCACTGCTTGGCTGTGATGTGGCAATCCATTACCTTAGGTGATGGTACCAGAGCCAATGCCAGTGCCCTCCCTACCCTCTGCAGGGTCTGAGTGGTTTGCTCCAGGGAAACACCAATTCTTTCTCCTCTGCTGTGCCAACAAGTTGGTAAACCAGGTCTTGTTGGGATGCTGCTCCTTCTGTTCCACTTGGGTTGGCTCTGAGATGTGACTCATGACATGGGCATAGCTCAGAGAGAGGCGCAGGGCAGGTGTAGGGATGGAGGAGAGAGAAGGGGGTGTCGAAGCTGAAGGTGACACGTGGCCAGACAACAGCTTTGTTCCTCCAGAAGCTGCCAGCTGGAGGAGATGTCCCCTTCTGTGGCAGCAGTGTTGCACAGAAATTCGTGGGGAAACCTTTCCAGCTATGATTTGCATCCCCCTTCAGGTGGAGTAAAGAGAGAAATTCCATCAAAACCAGGCTCTGCGTGGAGAGAGAGCAAGGCTGGAGGCAAACAGCCTCAGTACAGCCCGCAATTGCCCAGGGAGATGGGTCATGCAAGGCGAAGACAGTGTGTGCTGGTGGCTCTGTGCCTGCAGGAAGGGGGACACGTTGCTCCAATGCAAAGAAATGAGGTCTGGGGAGGAGGGAGTGATGGGGCTGACAGGCATGAGTGTGAACGGCAGGTGAACCTCCCTGGGTTTGTAACTGGACCTGTGTTTCTGGCAGAGCCTACTTGGAGATGGAAATGAATCTTTCACAGGACCAGATTCAGAAATACACAGACTGCCTCCAGCTATACGTCAACAGCACAGTTAAAGAGCTGAGGAGACTCTTCCTCGTTCAGGACCTTGTGGATTCTTTAAAAGTAGGATTGCTTTAAATATTTTTAACCCATCTCTAGAGGATCAATCTACATTTCAAAGTACTGCTTCCCATGTTGACAGTGTCTTCACAAAACATATTTTTGTGTAGCTCTAAATATAAAAGTTGCTCTCCTTTTTGATTTCCAAACTGCTTGCTTCTAGCAGTTTAGAGGTTTGCCAATCTACATTTGAATTTATTGATATGTAATATAGGAATTATAAAAGTTGCAGGATGAGCTTAGCTCCACTGCAGTTCTAGAAGCATCTCTGCGTTATGCTTTCTATGGCTTTGCCACAAAATAGTGTGTTCCCCTCTAATGCCTCTGTTAATCTGGATTTCCTCTAATAGTGGCATTTACTGCTATGGAGGAAGGTCTTCTTTCCCCTCCTGCTGAGATAATTATTTATTTTCAGCCTTACACCCAAGTAGGTGTTCTTCAGAGCGAAGGGAAGATCGTTAAGAGAGCAGACATGGGTTAGGCTCCTAATTACTAAAGATTTTTAGAAAAATGTACCCATCTCCTAGCCTCCAGAGTTTTCAGTCACCGGGATTATCACTGTGGGGCTGTGATTAACCTGTGTGCGATGACCCCTGCCATCACCAAAATTGGATGCAGTAATCTGCCTATGCCATGCTCAATGCAGAGTCCTAAATGTATGCAATTAAGCCCTAAATCTACATGAAAGCTCAGCTAAGAGGGTGAGAAGCAGTGAACAGCAGAATGGAGAAAGGGGTTTATACACCCAGAAAAAGTACCTAGTTCCTAATGTGCCTTACTTAACAAGTCCCCTTACACATTAGAAAAGGCTAATGTGCTATTATGTTAGCTAGTTAAGTGAACTAATTTCTTCTTATGCTGACACTGGAGGTGATGTAATGATCCATCTTTAATTCAGTTTGCAGTACTAATGTGGCTGCTGACTTACGTGGGAGCCCTCTTCAATGGCTTGACTCTTCTGATAATGGGTAAAAATCAACATTTCTTTTAAAATCTACTTTTAACTTTAACTCCCTCATGATTTCTGCTTAGACAAAACAGCCTATCCTCGTTGTGCCTTCCCCACAGTTAAACCATCAACTTTTATTTTCCTTTCCAGTAAATATTCATTATTCCTGTAAATTGTCCCTCCTGCTAGAACTAATTTGTGTTTCATGGTTTTGCAGCTACTAGTCCCAAAGCAATGGGAAATTCCATATTTGGGAGGTTTGAGCAAAGTTCATTTTTAATACAAAGATCCCTGGTGGATCAGCTGACCAAGTGGCATGATATGCGTTTGTCACTGTTTGAAGTAGGTCTCTTCTCTGGAGAAATCTGATCAGCAGGGATCTAA